GGAAAGAGGCTCTCTTCTTTGACTAGACGTGTAACGGGGGCATGTATAATGAGCCATCATAAACTCACAGCAAGTTTAAACCTCTTGCTGCACTTTTTGGGTGGGTTTCAGTGCCTGAATGATGCCTGCATCCTTTACAATAGTGGTTCTGTTTCTTGCTGTAGAGATCTTTGCTATCACTTTGTTGTTCTCTTCATCAATGCCCAACTAATCCTACTTTCCCTGATTTTTTTCCTCACCCTTCCTTACTATCTCCAACAACTTCATCTCTACTTTCTTCCATGTTCACCTCTGGCATTGCTGTGCTGCTTTAGTGAGACATGCCTTGCTATTGGGACATCATATGGGTTTATGGCATATTTTTCTGGGAGGTGGTATGGAACACTCTGTCCCAGCTCTCCTCTGCTCGCAACAGTAGTTTCCCCGAGCAGATTCTCCTCCAAATGGTCACTTGAGTGGAAGAGCAGTCAGACTCCCTCAGCTTTACTTAGTGCTCTGTGAAGATGTACTATAATCCCCTGGGAACATTTAAATACTTCCCAGTCATTCAGGTGCATACGGTAGCAGATGATCACTGGCTGATTAAAAGTCAGTGAGCGGCTGGGAGCTTAATCAAGTTTCTCTTCCATGATTACAACCAATACAAATAGTTGACATGGCACCTGTGACTGGAGGACTTCTGGCTTTTTTTGCAACAAGGAACACAGAGCTGGAAGCAGGAGCTGCCTCAGCATGATTACATTCTGAGGGGCAGGAAGAGGCTGGTGGTGACAGGGTGGTGACAGTGACAGTGGTTGTGGTTTGGTACCAGTCACAGCTCTGTCATTCCAGGTAGTGCCCTGTTTGAAGGCAGAAACATGCAGTATCTCTCAGTGAGTGCAACTTCTCAACGGGGGCCACAGGGCTTCACAAGAGTTTGAAGAGTGGGTACCGTTTTCCCTGGTACTACTACAGATTCTATCTTTCCAGATTTTTTTAAAATGTATTTGCTGTGCAAAAGATTTTACTGCAGAAAGGGCTGTTTGTTTTAACACAATAGGAAAACTGAGAATGAAGTGGCATACTTAATGGAGAACATTTAATATTGCTTATGTCTTTGGTATATATTTAACAACCTGCAAATAAAGAATATTGGTGTTGGAATTTGGGGCTTTAATTAAGGCTTCTACCCCGCTACAGAACTGTAAGTGTAGCTTTAGTATTTCTACAGAGAATGATGACTCCAGGAAGAACCATGGAAAGAGAAAGGAAAACAATTAATGCAGGCTGTGTATTTATACTCTGAGAAATCAACTACCTATTCCAAAAGGTATGTAATTCAGCTTCATTTAAAAATTAAGAAATAATTCTATATTCTTGAAAAAGATTTTATATTGTAAATGCATTATGTCCTTGAATATAAAATAGTATTTTTAAGCAAACAAGCATGTTATGATAAACGCTTAAATAAATTTAGTTAACTTAAAATAACTTAGGACCAGCCTGGACAGGCTGGAGAGTTGGGCAGAGAGGAACCAGATGAACTTCAGTAAAGGCAAGTGTAGGGTGCTGCACCTGGGGAGGAATAACCCCCTGCATCAGTACAGCTTGGGGGCTGACCCGCTGGAGAGCAGCTCTGAGGAGAAAGACCTGGGTGTCCTGGTGGACAACAAGAAGACCACGAGCCAGCAATGTGCCCCTGTGGCCAAGAAGGACAATGACATCCTGGGGTGCATCAAGAAGAGTGTGACCAGCAGGTAGAGGGAGGTCATCCTCTGCCTCTACTCTGTCCTGGTGAGGCCCCATCTGGAGGACTGTGTCTCCCCAGGACAAGGACAGGGAACTGCTGGAGAGGCTACCGCAGAGGGCTACAAAGATGATTAGGGGCCTGGAGCATCTCTCTTATGAGGAAAGGCTGAAGGACTTGGGTATTTTCAGCCTTGAAAAGAGAAGACTGGGGGGGGATCTGATCAATGCCTATAAATACTTACAGGGTGGGTGTCAGGAGGATGGGGCCAGTCTTTTTTCAGTGGGGCCCAATGACAGAACAAGAAGTAATGGGCACAAACTTGAACATAGGAAGTTCCATCTAAACATGAGGAGGAACTTCTTTACTTTGAGGGTGGCAGAGCACTGGATAAGGCTGCCCAGAGAGGTGGCGGAGTCTCCTTCTCTGGAGACATTCAAAACCCGCCTGGCCATGTTCCTGTGCAACCTGCTCTAGAAGGACCTGCTTTGGCAGGGGGGTTGGACTAGATGATTTCCAGAGGTCCCTTCCAATCCTATATTACTCTGTGATTCTGTAACATTTTTCTTTCCTTTATGAAACATTTTTTTTTCTCCCAGAGATTTAATTATACGATATAAAAGATTTGAAGATACTTAACTTTGATTAGGGAGGTGCATTGAGGTATTGTGAAGATGTATAACTTCAACATAGTATGTTCTCTAATTTCTCTCCAACCAATACCACTGACTGCTATGACAGACTTTGGAAAATAATGCATTCCAGATGCGGACATTTGTTTTTGTTGATTCAGCCTGGTTCCCTTATTGTCCAGATCTAGGGCCTTTTGGAAATCTCCACAGCTTTTTCCTGGATTCCCTTCCCAGGCTTCCTTCAAGTAACAACCAGAATATGGGCGCAAGATGTATAACTAGACCTTACCGTAGCAGGAAGCCAGGGCCTGTGAAGTACATGTATTTATGTGTAGCACTTGGAAAATGAAACCAGAGTTTGCACCTTTTGAGGGACAACAGCAAACACTTGGTGCACACCTGGTCAGCTAGGTCCTCCACCAGAGCTTCCAGGACACTGCGTGGAGTTCTCCAGGGGGGCAAAACAGCTGGAAGGGAGAAGAAAAGGCATGCTCTTCAAATGGGCTTTTCTGTTTTGATCCCCCAAAAAACCTTTTACTCCAAAGACCAATGTGATAGTTGCGTGAGACCTTGTGTTTCTGATGGTGTTTTAAGAGTTTTAGACATGGCCTTTTCCTCTCATTAGTGCTTGTTGTGTGATGTAGTTCATCGTTTTTATGTAAAATAATTCTAAGAGAGAGGAGAACAGTGAGTTAACTCTGCCTGTCCATAAACCCAAGCACTTAAATGCATTTCTAGTGTCATGTTGTGTTCAATCTAGCTGAATTGTCACTATGCGGCAAAGTGCAGTGGCCTCTCAGTTACGAATGACATGGCTTCTGCTGTCTCTTTTTCCAGATGAAGAATCATTTTATGGAGCTTTCATACATGGTCTTTGCATCCATCTTTTATGGACCCTGTGAAAAGCAAAATCAGAATTGAAAAGGTAAAGTTCAGGGGAGTGTGATAGACTTCAGGGAGCTTCAGAAGGCCAAGATGAGGGAAGCAGGCTGCCTGGTGCTGGCTGAGTATCAGCATGAAGGTAAACTCCATCCAGGAGGTCAGGGAGAGAGGGCCAAATCACAGAATGGTTAGAATTAGAAGGAACCTTAAAGATCATCTAGTTCCAATCTCTCTGCCATGTGAGGGGTCACCTTCCACTAGACCAGGCTGCCCAAAGCCCCATCCAGCCTGATCTTGAACACGTGGATGGGGCATCCACAACTTCTCTGGGCAACCTGTTCCAGTGCCTCACCACCTTCAAAGTAAAGAATTTCTTCCTAATATCTAATCTAAATCTACCTCTTTCAGTTTAAAACTGTTACCCTTTACCCTAACACTACACTCCCTGATAAAGAGTCCCTTCCCATCCTTCCTGTAGGCCCCCTTTAGATACTGGAAGGCTACTATGGGGTTTCCACGAACCTTCCTCTTTTCCAGGCTGAACAACCCCAACTCTTTCAGCCTGTCTTCATAGCAGAGGTGCTCCAGCCTTCTGATCTTCTTCATTGCCCTACCCTGGACTCACTCCAACAGTCCATGTCCTTCTTAAATTGGGGGCCCCACAGCTGAATGCAGTACTCCAGGTGGGGTCTCACGAGAGAGGAGCAGAGGGGCAGAATCACCTCCCGTGACCTACTGGCCATGCTTCTTTTGATGCAGCCCAGGGTACAATTGTCTTTCTGGGCTGCCAGTGCACGTTGCTGGCTCACGGTGAGCTTCTCATCCACCAGCACCCCAAAGTCCTTCTCCTCAGAGCTGCTCTCCATCCATTCTCCACCCAGCCTGTATTTGTCCTTGGGATTGCCTCAACCCACATGCGGGATCTTGCACTTGCCCTGGTTGAACTTCACAAGGTTTTCCACCTCTCAGGCCTGTCTGGGTCCCTCTGGATGGCATCCCTTCCCTCCAGCATGTCGACTGCTCCACACAGCTTGGTGTCATGGGCAAACTTGCCGAGGGTGCACTCAGTCCCACTGCATTGAAGAAGAAACCTACCCGTCGGTGCACCGAGGAGAAACACCTCCTCATTAAGAAGGCGTCAGTCCCACCAATGCTGGGACCGCCTGTGGGGTATCATCTCCCCGCGGACGTGCCGGGACGGCGGGGCAGAGACGCGGCCCCTCCTGGGGAAACCTGACGGCTGCCCGGGGGGGGGACACGTCCCCCCATCGCCTTCCTGACGAGGCCCCGCTCCCGCCGGCCCCGGCCCCCTCAAGGGACACCCCCGGTGGCGGGGCTGCCGGTGCGGCGGGCAGCATCACCGGCAGGGCAGCCGGTGAAGGCGGGCAGCCTGCATCGAAGGCGCAAGGGGCGGCGTGTGGGAGGACGCGGAGGCAGGGGAGGGCGGCGGGGAACCGGCTTTCTCCGGCAGCCCGGCCCCTCTGGAGACGGCGCGGAGCCTCCCCGCTCCGCCCGGCCTCTCCCCCCGCGGAGGCACCGGCGGGAGGGCGGGGAAGAGCGGCCGGGAGCCGGGATGGCGACGGGACGGCGGCTGGGCGGCAGGGAAGGAGGCTGAGGAGGGCTGCGGGGAGGCTGCGACCCCGCAACCCCCTTTACCCCCCCCGCCTCCGCAGGGATGAGCGCCCGCCCGGGCACAGCTCCGCCCCGCCCGGAGGCGGTGCCGCG